GAGCTTACCCAGAAACCATATTGGGCCTTATGTTCCTCCTGCGTGAACAGGGGATCTATTTATCCAATATTTCACACACCTAGTAAATACTCAGCAAATCTTTACAGTTGATTCTGAAGTCTGAGATAGCAAGAAGATGAAATGTAGCTAAGTTCCAGCACCAGCTACTCAAAGTGTAGTCCCTGAACCAGTATCCTCCACCACACCATGTTGATGGGAATTTGTTAGCAGTTCAGGAGTTCAGTACCTCCTGTACCCACTCCCCACCCCCAAGACTTGGCAGATTGGATTCCACAGGTAACCAATGAATCGTTTGTCATTTGTACTTTCTAGCTGAGAAGTAGGACTGCAGCTGCCCATCGAGTTGTGTAGGGGAATGCATATTGACTGCTTGGCACACACGTCAGCTTGACAGAATTCTTATTCCCTGCCTTTTCAAATGATGAATACGCAAGTCGTCAAACCATGCCTTCCCCAGCTGTGGGCTTCAAACAGGAGTCTGAATGCTCCCGACTCTCCTTTCCCCGTTCCATTTGCACAGTGAATTCATCACAGATGAAGTATATAGATGCATTCTTGTCATTTGGACAGAGTAAAAGCTTCTAGTTAGCTCATATTAGTAGTACAAGGTAATATTGTAGAAGGTCCTGGACCCAGTGGCTGGTGCACTGGCATGGGAGAATGAGGTAGACCAACACATGCTGCTTTGTCAAAGTCATAAAGCCCTTGAACTACCTGCATCTACCATGCTGGCTATGGGATTTGGGACTGTGGGAAGTCAAGCCGCCAAAGCAGAGAACACCCTGGTTTCCTGGGTGCTGTAGTGTTCTTTGGAAGGCAGAGCTCACGTATTCACCTCCTGATTAAGCTTTGATTTGCTTGGGGGAGTCCACCATCTCTTAATCACAAAAGTAACAGGAATTCCCAATACGTTTGTTCTCATGCCTAATCAGTTGTTCCAGCTGTCAGTCATCAACCGTGTCTGGAAGTTCACTTTAAAAGCCATCTTCCAGCTTCAAAAGTAGTGGTGACCCCCAAGGTGACAAAGGGCAATGAAGGCTTCCCCCATGGGCAGCCTATGTGTGATGGTTGATTTGATCACAACCATTTTGTTAATATTTCCCTGAACCCTGGAAGATTCTCTTCTATGCCTTGTACATTGATCGATAGGCCACACTGTATGTCACATTGATTGAGTTTGGAAAATCATTTTGAGTGTTTCTGGAAGGAAATTTGTCCTTTCTCCAGTGACCTTACAATTTCACTCTAACATGGAGATTGTCTTCCTGAGTTTATAAATCATTTAGCAAAGTGCAAGCATTTGTCAGACACCATATGTTAAGGCGGGCAGGTCTGTGTGAAGTTGACAGGTGTTCAGATTTAAAACATTAATAGGGGTTAGCAGATAAAAAGTCCAAGAGTCAGCTCTTGTATTTGAATGAATTGAAGGAGTGAATAATATTCTTAGATGAAAGTAATGTAAGACTTAGTCCTGGGTGTATGATGAGACATAGTCAGAAAATCCTGGCCAGTCGGTGTAGGTAGGAGAGTCATGCCCTGTGCCCTGGTAGGGCGATTTCTCAGGAACGAGGGCATTTCAAAGGCCTAGGACAATCCTGTTGAAATGGCAGCTGTATGACTTCAGAGTATTGCCCACATACTTGGAAGGGTATGAGATGGGAACTGGATGAATGGCAGAAAGCTGCGCTATGTCTGTTACTCCTTGCTTCCAATTTCTGGTAATTCGGTTGGTCCCTGGTGACACTGAGCAGCAGTGGCCATGCCCTGGACTCTGCACGTACATGCACTGGCTTCTACTAGGCTTCCACCAGCTCAGAGGTAAGATTGATTTGGAATGCTCACCTCATTTGTTGGAAAACAGAGGTATCTTGGGCTTGTTTTGCAGAGAAAGAACTTTTTTTTATATAGCCTTCTGCCTAAGAAACTGTGTAAGTGTATCTTCCAAATGCAGGCTTCGAACCCTACAGCCCTCCTTGGTTCTTCTTCATGAAGCTATCTGTCCCAGTACCATTAACCAGCTATAGCAGTGACAGAAAAGTTGTGGATGTCTGTCTCACTACTGCTTAGTCAACATGGACCTCAGCACTGCCTGGGGAGCATGTTCCTGAGCCTTTAGCCCTGTGTCATGCATTTTGAATTCCCTACCTCACACCCTCTGTGCCACTTATTTCTACTGTGACAATCAGCTGCTCCAGGCAGAACATGGCAGCACCTCCCTTCAGCTGCACCATATACTTGTGGCTCTCTGCCCTGTGGCTTCTCTCTGTCTTCACACAGGGCATCTGTGATAACTTCATCTATCCTGGTAATGTGTATACTGGGAAGTGTGAATGAAAGAACACACTGGGACAGCCAAGACGAATGTGAATTGGTAGAAAAATATGTTCCTTTCTGTTACTGTCCTACTCACTGGTGCCCAAGATGAGTCCTGTTGACATTCAGAGTGTGTTTCTTTTTGTTCACTCAACAAGCAACACAAACTGATGCTCTTGAATATGACCAGGCACTAAGAAGGCTGTGTCTCTAGCCTATGTCAGCACTTTGTTCGGAGTTGGCCACACAGCAGGTACTTTCAAAGTATTTGTGGCATAATTGGCTACCCCAGAGAAGAATGAGAAGAGCACTCTGCACACAGAGTGAAAGTATTAAAATAAGATAGAGAATATTCATAGATGAGATGTGTTCAGTTGTCTGGTTTGACCAGAGCTTAGGGCACGTTGTAGAGTTACATGCAACACGGTATGTTAAAGTGCTTTGTACACGATCCAATGCTCTCCCTTAGTAAGAGCCTGCATTTTGATCAAATGGATGGATAGAGTCAAGGTTCCTCTGAGTTGCAAACTCCTCGAGAACAAGGACTAACATATGATAGAAGGACTAAGTGTGTAGAAGTGCTCAGTAAATATTTAATTAAGAAATGTGGTTGTTGGATGATGCACGACCAGATGGGTTAGAGGGTGAATGACGGATGACTGTACCCGGTGATCACAGGGGTGTGCAAGGGACCTGCAACCAGACTCCCAGTGAGTGACAGCCTACAAACAATATCAGTTTCTGAGTTTACTTCATCACTGTTCATGCAAAATGTGGCTAATAGAGACCTCTGGGAAGCTCTCCATTTTCTGTTGAGTGTGCACGCCACACTTCCCCATTACCCACTGGATTGTAAACACTAGGGCAGTGCTTCCCTCATGATAAACTCACACACAGAGGCACATACAAAAATACCCAAGGTGTAGGTAAGCGATGGGCTGGGTGCATTCATTCAACAGCTGTAATAAAATATACAGCAGAGCTCACATTTCTAGGCTGAGGTGGAGAAAAGTCAGCAGTACATTTAGTGTTTCTGCGGCCTCTTAGCCTTCCATTCGTTTTAAGAAGAGTACTTAAAATACCAGGATGCACGCTTGCAAACACCAATACTGAAACCACAGTCGATCCAAAAGACTTTTTTTTTCCCCAGGTAAAATTGTTATTTGGAATACAGGCAGAATTGTGGTTCCCAGAGCTAGCTAGCTGAGCATCAGTGACAACAGTGATTTGTAAGGTGACCCGAGAGAGTTTGTAAATGTGCAACTCCTATGCAGGCTGACACACACAATAGAAGCTTGGCATGACCTTTTTGAGCCAGTTAGTATTTTCTCATCTCCCTGCCTCTTCAGGACCTGGAGGGCTTGAATTGAGCCTAGGTTTCTGAGGATGAGTGCTAACCTGACAGCATGCTGATTAACCAGGAATAAATCTTTCACATCAGAACACATCCTTGTCAAGCACTTTTTGGACGGGAAGAGGGTAATTCTGTCTTCACAGATTCCTCAAAGTATCTGAACTCCTGTTCTGTTGGATTAAGTTTTGGGGGGGTCATTTAGGGTATTGATTCTATCCTGGAGAGGGTGAAGAAAAGTGCCACTGGTTTAAAAATACAACTCCCTGAACTTTTAAACCCTTAAATCTTTTTGATAATGTGGTTTTACTTTCTTAAATCCTGAACTTGATTTTGTGTGTTTTATTTTTTTTTAAAGAAAAATCCATTTGTTCTTTGATAGCAGGAGGGTAAGTTCAAAATGAGCAGAAGTAGGTACAGAGGTGAGCAAAACTTTCTACAGGAAAGGAAGTGAAAGAGAGTGGTTTGGTGATGCTAAAGGGGTCTACTGCATGAGTCCCCATTGCCAAGAGGGCTTCCCTTATAGACTGTGGGTGCAAGAAGGTCTCTGGGTATTGCTTCAGGGCATTGTACCAATTAGCTGGTTGACATGGCACACGTTCAAGTTCAATCATCTGTAATTCTTGAAGGCTATAACTGGGGCACTTCCTGATTCTGTTTCCCGCACTGGAGAAAGATCCCAAAGTTGCCTTGGATATCCCTTGTTCCTATGTGCTAATGTTGCAGGGGACTCCTAGGTGAAAGCCAACTATATTCATTCCTTCTCCCGAGTGGTACCTTGATTAGTTAGACTCGCAAGTCGATGTAGGGCCCTATTGGGTCACAGCAGTTCCAGCTTCATTATACTGATGTATCAGGGACCCAGAAAGACCTGATCTAGAGTGAGCCATTACTGGGGCAGGGGACAGAAGTAGGCCTGTCCCATGCCCTTCTCAACACGATGCCACCTGACTCTCTTGTCCTATGAGTGCAACATGTCACCACAGAGACCTTCTCCCAGATATGAATGGCACAAGCCTGATTATAGAATGCCCAGGTGGGGAGCTGGCAGGGCACAGCTACCTCTAGGGGAGGAACCAGCAACAGCCCATGTGAGCTCTGGAAGCAGTCATGGAGGCCCCTTCACCAAGGAAGCTGCTCTACTGAGAAAACAAAAGCTGTGTATACCTAAGAAGGGGAGCACAGTTCCCTGCCAGCCACCCAGAGAAAAACAAACAAGCCCCTAAAATATGCTAGCTGTCAGCCCTTCGGAGTCTAGAAGATGCCGGCTTCACTCGGGCACAGCCTCACCCTTCTTCTTCTCCCTTGCTTTCAGCTCCCATTTTCTCCAGCAATCATTCAAGTCGAAGCGGAACAGCTGCTGGGGCCGTGCCACCCCCGCATCCTGTCAGTCACCCTTCTCCGGGACATAATGTACAGGGGAGCCCCCACAACCCCTCTTCCCAGTTACCTCCACTCGCAGCTGTGGACGCAGGAGCTGAGAGGTAAGGCCATCTGTCTCCCTTTCTCGTAATAGGTGTCGCCGCCAAGCCTCCCTCCACGGAGAAGTGCTTTGACAGTTGCTGCATTTTATTAATAATCTGGTGGTGGGTTGGGTTCCCCAAAGGTGACATTTTTGAAAGTAACATACACAAAGCACATGGACCAAATATCTCATTATCTGTTATATTTTTGCCATGGGGGAAAAAAAAAACAAATGAAATGATACTGGCAATAACAACCGAAGTGTCAAGTGCTAGAAATATACATTGCATCTCCCTGTCTTTTCCACTGTTCCTCTCTTTCAGGGACTCAGTGTTAAGGCAACATGTGTGCAGGTTGAAATGTTTCCCAGATGTAAGAGGATGCCCTTGGCATATAGTCAGTAATGTTGGCTTGGGGACAGCACTTAAAGAGATACAGGTTGTTATATGGGCAACCAGAAGAGTGCCCCTCACTGAATACTTTATTTTGCAATTACTTTTACATTGGGTTTCTGGGGAGGGGGAAAGAGTGAATTTTTAATGACTACCATCTTTATGGTATTTCTATTTTCTTCTAAATCCACCCCCCCATCAAATCCAAAGGCATTTGAGACCCTTTCTTCTATTTCTGCTCCCCAAACCCGAGTGTGCTTTTTGTGGAGCCAAAATGTGAGTTTCCACCCCATATGTCCCCCATCTCCTGCTGAACTTCTTTTGCCCAGTGGCAAGATGTCAGGCTGAATCAGTGCCAGCATGTTAGACAGGAGATTGGACACTTTAGCCCCTCTCTCTGCGTGGTGTGCAGCGAGGGCCAACACCTGTTCCCACCCCTCTTCTGTTGGCATCTTGGCCTGATTTGATCCACCCAGATGTTAGTCTTAGGTTCTTTCTGGAACCTCTGTGCAATCTTGCAATGGTAGCATTTGGAGAACAAAATAATGGGTTGAATAGATAGCCTCATGAAGCATTTTGAATCTTGGATTTTATCATCAATCTGTGGTTCAATTGTTCTTGGCCTCGACTTTGAGTTTAATGTGTATCCTCGGACTGATAAATCATATATCTTTTGATTTATGCCTGTTTCCATTTTTATTAATAACGCTTTTGTTTGTTTAATAAACTTCAATTGAGTACCTGCTGTCAGATGTTGTATCAGTGATGGAAAGATTTGAAAACCGTACTCCTGCCCATGCAAGTATTAGTCATGAGAACAGACATGTAAACAAAGCAGAACAGACAGTTTAGCTAGATGATAAAATACAGATGCCTCCGGAGCCTAAAGAGGATATCCCTAACTCTGCTTTAGGCAGTGTGGGAAAGGAAGACACAGTGATCTAGGCATTTGAAGAATAAGCCTTTTCCAGGTGGATGCATCAGAATAGCATTCCAGCCAGCCAGAAGATGTGAACAAGAGGGAGGACATTTGCACAATGCTGATAGAGTCCAGATGGTAGGGGTTCAGCTCATGTAGGCTCATGTGCTTTGTGTCTAAGGAATTTTTCCTCATCCGACTGGAAATAAAACATAATTGTGGACTCTGTATCAGGAGAGAGGCATGATCAGACTGATATTGTAGAGAAAGAACTCGGAAGAAGCCACTAATTTAGGCTGAAGGAAGGGCCGGGAAGGACACAGAGAGATCTCTGTGGGAGATAGGAAGATGTGCAGTTCAATAAAGAAGGATGGACAATGTATTTAAGAACCTCTAGTTGTTAATAATAAATGGGGTAAAGAGACAAAAGGCAAGATTCATTCTTGAGTTGCACCCCTGGGTTCCAAAATGGAAAACTGTGAAAAAAGAAATGGAAAGTAAAGAAAGAGTGTGGTTGAAAAGAAGGTGGTATGAGAAGAGAAGTAACAGTACAATGGCTTTTAGAAGTTTTAGGAGATTGTAAAAGATCAGGGTGACTATGTCTGTTGGGCAATTAGAAATAGGAATCACAAGTTCAGCCTTACTTTAACAGTTCCAGGTACTGGTGAAGCGTAAACAAATCATTAGCCTCCTCCCACAGGCGCCATCAGCAAAGCAGTGTGGATGATATCCACCCATTAAGTTCACAAACACGGGAGACAGGCAATCTTTCCTTCCAATTATTTGATGTATTCTTATAAATTGAGACAATAAGCCTGTTCCTTTTAGCATTTGATGCAATTTCCAGTTGGGTGTTAAACGGTATTCGCTATGGGCTTTTCATCATCACATTGCATTTGGGCTGGTTGAGAGTCATACTCCGTGGGGCAGTGAGCCTCAGACACAATGTGTGGGAACTTCCCCTTCTCTCTGTCGCCTCATCACCGTGATCAGAGCATAAGAGACGTGCAACCAGTGTGCCTCCTTTTTACGCGGAGACTTTGAAAGAAAGTGCAGCAAAAGTCAGAGACAACAGCCATCAGAACCCAAACACCAGGTTGCCTCTCAGCTCTGGCTATCGTTGATTGGCTGCGGGCAAGTTCCCTCACTATTCCTGATACTTAGGGTTTGTTTAAACTTTTATTTGATTCCCTGGGTTTCATTTTTTCAAGCCCCTCTTAAAAAATGTCAAGGATGGTACAGCGAGCACCCATGCACCTTGCATTCACTCTTTTTCTCTTTGCTTCTACCCAATCGTGGCTTGGGAAATCAGTTCATTTGCTTGCCTATTGTTTCTGAAGCATTGGACAAATACTTGTGAGTGTCATCGACATTACCCTCAATTACTAAAGTAGAGCTCACCACATATGATTAAAATTTCTCCAATTTTGTGGACTACCCCTTTCGAGCTGAAGGGGTTGTCTTTTTCTTTCTCTTTCCTCTTGATAATTAGGAATCCAATAAGGATTGCATTATGCATTTAACTCTCGTGATTTTTTAAGTCTCCTTGGATCCAGTGAAGTTGGCCATATTTTTATTTATTTATTTTAATTTTGGTTTTCGTTGTCCTTTGGTGTACTTACAGTTCTGCAAGGTCTTGGGGGCGTTTACTTTGCACAGTGTTTAGATTCACTCTATACCTCTCTGGCAGTAGCTGCAAACTGCATGAATGTGCAGTGATGTGGTGTTCCTATGCTTTTTTTTTTTTTTACACATCATGAGATTTTTGGATTCACTGAGCCCAGAGCAAGTAAAGTTTAAAAGCCAAAGGATCAGTGAAAATGTAAATAATTGTGGAAATGGAGAGGAAGGGTGAAGGAAAAGAAGCTTGGCACCGTGGTGGCTGCGTTCTTCCTTCAGGATGTGTGTGTCCTGTCCCTGGGCCAGTGTGAGTGTGCTGAGTGGGTTATCACTTCCTTCCGGTCTGCAGAGGGGATGACAGGGAACAGCCCTGACTTACTGTGTTTGCGTTTGTGTCCACCATAAACATGCTGAGAGGAAGTGTGCTTACCTTCCCGCTTTGGGTTTCTATCTCTGTGCCTCTGTTTGCCTGGGAAATCCCCCAGTGAAAACTTCAGCAGTCTTTCTTAGCGGAAACAGGTTTATCGCACGTTGCGATTTTTAGTGGGGAAACTGGCATCTTTTCCCGCTCTGTGGGCATCGATTCATCATTTGCTTAGCTTCGGCGTGTTCATAAAAATGGACTGAGTCACTGAAGAGGTCAGGAAAGGCCCACCAGCCACATCTACCCAGTTAGCACTGGGTTCTTTGATCGTTGCCATCAGAGAAGAAGAAAAACAAGCTCTACCAATTCAGTGAGGTTCCATTTCTGTCATCGAGTGGATGCATCGTTTCAGCAGTTTTAAGCAGCATGGCATAGCAATCACCTACTGCTGACTTGAGTTGTTTCTGGGAAGTGGTGTTTTGCTGTGTAAGAGCCAGGAGCATTTCATGCGAACGCCGGTGGCTTTCCATGAGAAGAACTCGGTGTCTTTGGAAATGGTCATCTGTTGGGTTTCAAAATATGTCTATGAGACCAGAAATAACAGGGATGAGAATCCCCCACCCCACCCTTTTTTTTTTTTTTTTTTTTTGAAACAGAGAAACGTAACTCCTAGAAAAGTCACCTAGATTTGTGGCACAAGAAAATGTGCACATGGGAATGGAAGGACACAACCTGGGTGGGCTGTGCAGTCATGTGACTTTTTTACATCACATGACAGTTGCCCATGGTGACACCACATCCAGTAGGTTTCTCAGGAGCCTCCTTTCTGAGTCAGAGGAAACCTGATGTGGAAGGAAGGATGTGAAAATAGTATATATACATATGTATTCCTATTCTACAAAGCAAATTTGGCAAAAACATTTTCAAAATTCATCTTAACAGGAAAAAAAAAATCACTGCCTTCCCCCATTATCTCCCAAAAAGATGCAGTCTTTTGGGGAACTGTACAATTTAGTACATGAATCAGCAGCAACAAATACTGGGAATAAATGTTTTGGAGAAAGCTGAAGCATCTCCACCATGTTAGGAGTGTGAACTTTTAGAGTCCTTATCAAATGTTGGGAAGCTTTACTGTTCTTCAATGTTTTTCTACAAGATTTATTTTAATTAGAAAGGCAGATATACAGAGAGGAAGATCATCTGTCCAGTGATTCACTCCCCAAGTGGTTGCAAATGCCAGAACTGCGCCAATCCCAGGCTAGGAGCCCGGAGCCTCTTCTGGGTCTCCCATGTGGATGCAGAATCCCAAGGTTTTGGGCCATCCTTCTTTGCTTTCCCAGGCCACAAGCAGGGAGCTGGGTGGGAAGCGGAGCCTGCCAGGCTTAGAGCAGAAGCCCATATGGGATCCCGGTGTGTTCAAGGTGAGGACTTTAGCCACTAGGCCAGTGCACCAGGCCCTGTTCTTCAATAGTTCTTTCAGCTGTCATATTGCTAGCATCCTAGGTTCTCTGACACACGTGTGGTCTTTCTGTGTCTTTCAGTTGCCAGGACTAACCCCTGTAAGGTATCGCCTTCTAATTCCTCTTTTGGGAACATTGCTGGTCTGGATGCTAAGGGTAAAGGCAACTGTTGTTTTCCATTGAATGGCACAATTTTCATTCAAGTACTTCACTTCTGTTCAAGCCAGCCTGCTCACTGTTCTTTGATTTTGCTTGTTTCTGCCTC